AATTTTTCACCTTTGGTTGAGTAACGCATCGTAGAATGCAGATACCGGCATGCAAAATACACTTGTGAATAGCTTGAAGTCTGGCGATTCCAAAAATATATACTTTCCTGGGTCTATTTGTAGTCATTTTATCACAATTAGAGGATGAAAACAAGTATGCAAATAATAGTCCCGATACCTTAATTTTGAATTCAAAATTTTGTTTTCTTATAGCTGAATGTTGACATTCCAATCATTCAGAGAGGACTATATCTTTATTATACTCTTACTTCATTAAAATTGACTATCATCAAATGTGTAAAGACATTAATATACATGAAAATATCCCAAAATACATTTGTTGGATCCACACGATGCTTAGAGCTGCTGCTACTACTATATGACCATTGTTTGTCATGTTTCAAGGTGTGTCTGATTTCACACACAACGTGGGATCTCGCAGTGAGCAGGGAATGATCTAAACAGAACTATTTTATTCATGAAAGAAACGTCTGGTCAAATAACTTACCTTTTATTCAGATGTTCAGCCAGTATCTCAGCTTTTTCAATTGCTATGATGCTACTAGATTGGCCAAGCAGAGAAGTAAAAAATTTCTGATAATAAAAAACAATAAATGAAATGAGTAAGGATGTACAAAAAATCTAAAAACAAAATTTCCACCAGTCTCTACTGGTGTACTACCGATATATTTCCAAAAACTGTTTAAACGAAATGATTGGTTTCTCTGTATAATATGAGCTTATTACGAGAATACCTCAAAGTATGCACGAAGACGGCGGCGTACTGTCTGAGTGCATACTTTGGGGTATTCTCGTATTAACCTTATTATTATACATCTTTTCGTTCCAAGGATACATCATGGGAATGCTGAAATTCAAAAAGTTTATAACAGAATCAGCGAACTTCTTTGTGTGTGGAGTCCGGCCAAACCCGAATGGCAGCCATGTTTGTTTTTAAGAGAGGACGCTTACGTGCTCAATCATTCCATATTTGGAATTTCCACTTCCTTATATGGTAGGATGAAAATACCCCATAAAATACCGCAAAATTATTGCACGCTGTAACTTATGGCATTGTGGTGACAGATGTATAATAATATTCCTTAAATAGTGGGCTAAACCTGCATTCAGTATGTCTTATTGGTTTATATTTCACTCACATCTATCGCCCCCTATTCACCTACTATAGGTCACAGCAAGAAGACGTTTAAGCCCTGCGATCTTATTTTACACCTCAGGCTTAAACATAGTAATCAAGGTTGAGACCAGATGTGTGACTCTGGTCAACACTGGGTTTAATAAGTGGTTCTTAACAGTGTCCTTGTATTTAGAAGATAAAAATAATAAAAGTAACTTACCTTATCTGCTTTATATTCCTTAGTTTTATGTATCTGCTTCACAATATTAAAATATTTCATATAAAGCACATATGATTTCTCTTCATCTCCCAGTTTGAACTGCTGTTCTGCTGCACTGAACACTTTAGAAGCTGAACTACAATAACTGAAATCAACCAATACCCAATTTCAAAATGTTTTCAGAAAATAAGGTTTCTGGCCGCAAAGACCCAAAATAATGAAGAGTATAGTAAGGGAACTAAACCTGGTTGTTGGTAGTGTTGAAAATATCTTGGAATATTACAAAAATAAGCAAATCTATAGAAGTGTGAGTCACATTTTGTAGATACTATACCTGAAGAGATTTGGGCTGATATGCTTTCAGAATTCACTGAGAAAAGAGTATACTTATAAATCCAAGTTTGCATGGGGTACTTTTTAAAAGACAGACAGTTACTCGTAGGTCAAGAGAGAACACAGAGATGCACACAGATGTTTGAACAGAATGGAAAGGCAATGTATCTTTCCAGTTTTTCTCGAAATTTAAAGGTGTTTTGATTTTTCAAAAATATTTGAAAATCTGTAGAAAAGGGTTGTTTTTGATTTTGCAGAACACTCCTACCTATACTACCAAAGTTCCCATGATACTGTGTATACACATTCAAGAGCACCCATTTTAAAGTGTACATCATGTAATAAACAGATTGTTTGATAAAAACTGTCACTACACATACTGCAGTTCTAAGGTAAATCAAATGGATGTAACCATGATCTTGGATGTCTTGCAAATGATATTCATACATTGTACATGCAATATAACAGTGAATTGATATTTTATGATACATAACATCATGAATTTCTTATAGTAATAACAATAAACTGTTATTGCTGAATATAAAAACACTTGTCATCAAAAGTACAAAGGGTGGTGCTATGAGACTGTAAGCATAGATTGTACATGCTGTATGTACCGTAAGAATACATTGTTAGCTTACTGTTTCATGTATGTTCTGACTGTGTATGGAATGCATGCATGCCAGCTTACCTGATAAACTATCAAAAAAATGTGCAAGGCAAAATTTTAAACTTGTAAGTATATTGGCAAGGTTATAACCACAAAACTTGTTTAATTAAATACATATGCTGGCATACACTCATTACCCAGTATTAAAGCAAACATCATACATAAAGTTTGTTAATCCAAAGTAATTAATGTGCACTCACTTTTTAATATTCCAGCCTTTTACCAACTGATGATCAGCCATTTTGTTGAGCTCTTCCATCGACCTGGCAACGTACAGCTTCTTCTTCCCTTCAGCAGGCATCTTTAGTTAAGGTTGTATTCCAATGTAAGAAATCTGTTAAAATGAATCAACATAAGATGTGCAGTGTACATCAAAGTTACTGAAATACATGAACTAGGTTTACAATGTGTTAGACAATTTCTTTGGACAATGGGTTTATTGTGATAACTTTTACAATAAAGATATTCTCCAAGACAGATGTAAACTACAATATATCTATGTAGTGTTATGGTGCTTCACTAACACAAACACTATGGTATGTCTTAAAATACAACACAGTCAGTGTGAAGTGGCCAGTTTAAATGACAAGCACAGCATACTCCCCCCTCCCTGAATATAGAATCTTTGAATTTCATTCATCGAGAGAAACCTATGGTAATTAGCTGACTGTGAAATATTAGTAGCATTGTAGCAAAGCTTGAGTGAAATGAAAAGCTATTAATAAATTATAAGCTTCAACATATAAAGAGGAAGTAAAGACAAATGATTTTTGCATATCGTGAGGATCAGGACAAATGTTTATCTGTTTGTTATTGTTGATTAGCAACATTTTAAAAGTACTGTAAAGAGGTTAATTATTCACTGTGTTTTAATTTTGCTTATTTCGCTGACTGGAAAATGCGCTAAATTAAAACCCAGTGAATATTTAAAATTTAGCATAGAACACATTATCTAAATGATAAAACCGTGAATTTAAAACCCACTGAATATGAGTGAAATGGTAAATCAGCGAAATTTAAACCCAGTGAATATTTGTCATTTTACAGTAATCTTAGAGACTACATTACTGATTTTTAATACTGTGGAATACTTGATTTTCGCTGGAATTAATTTTCGCTGAAAAGGCTTTTTGGGTGTTTTGTATGGAATTTATTTTCACTGATTTTTGATGAGTTTAATGTGAAATATAGGGAAAAAAGTATATTCGCTGGATTTTATTTTCACGGAATCATCCCTTCAGCAAAAATAAATTCCAAGCAAAAATAAAGTATTCTACAGTAAATTGATTTTTTTCAAATCTGAAAAGGTACACCATAGATACATGCAATGTTTGCTACTTTTATTTCAAAGATTTTATTGATGTTATGCTTTGCATAATTGAATATGTAATTCATATTCCCATACGAGTTCAATCAAACTTGCGATACCTTCTGCCTGAATACTTCATTGATACTATTGTCTAGACTAGGCTGCAGAAGCGCGGGATGGACATAGAATCAATGTTTACTGCCATTTCTGGAGCCCGAAAACAATATAGAAATTACTATTCTGTTAAAAGCTGCAATTTTTACTGTTCTAAAACAAGTCAGAACTTATTTAAAAATTCAAATTTCCCTTCATTTGGGTTAAACTACATCACAAACATTGATATATTCACAGTCCCTCTATTCAAGACTAATGACGTCACACTCAAAAAAATTTCTTTGTTAAAATTGAATGCAGAAGTGTTATAATAAGCTACGTTCATGTTACAGGATCTCATCTCGTGTTGAAATATTTATTCCTTCATGTTCTTTATCTTGCAGATGATAAGATTATGATGATATTCATAATTGCTTTATTGGAATCTTATTCATTTGCTGATATTGATATTGTCATTGTGCACATGAATGGCAAAACAGTATTCAAAGAAGAGTTATTATTTCATGTCGATGTCGCATTTCAAGAAGATACACAAACATTCTGAATTAAATTCATTCATTAGTACAGCATCCATGCAACTGTATCTAGCTGCACTACCCTCCATCGCCATGCCGACGTGTCCCAACTCTCAGCACGTGATGAGAGCTGTGACATAAACGTCACTATAGTATAACTTCATGCAGGAACAAGATAAACATGTATTATAATACTAGAGATATCATAAGAATTATACAGCAAAATATGCACACAGGAACAAAATCAATCCCTATCGCTGTACTGCCATCATGTGATATTCTCTATCCTAACCATACCCTTTATCTCCCCCTCAAAATAATTGTACATGCCTTTCTTGATTACAACTGTAATGTTATGTCACAGTCGCAGGGACTATGGTTATGTAGAGGGGCATATACACATACAATTGAATATTGGGGAGGCTGGGGGAGGGGTTAAGGTTAGAGTTAGGATAATGTCTTTTCCAGATTGTCTTGCAATTTCTCTCAACCCGTGTATTGTTGAAAATATAATAATAATAATTATTATTATTATTATTATTATTATTATTCAAGGGATTTGACACATTTGTTGTTTGTTTGCTTTTCCCTGCAACAAGTATCTCTTGTGAAGCCCAATAATATGTACAAGTGTACACACATGACGTGAGAAAGTTGAAGATTCGAAAACAGTTCAAGTCTATCAATGGTTTGTCGGTGCTTGGTATTCGAACATGTCTTGTGTTATATCAGTCAGTATAAAGGCCTGAACATCGACCAAGCTGCGTATACACGGGCGTATACCGGGCCCATGGTCAAAAGTTGTGAGGATGTGTACCCGGACATCAACAATAATTATCAACAATAACACCGCGGACCGACTCATCGGTGATTTTCCTGAACGAGTGTTCACACACAAGCTCTTAGACATCATACATATTCTCACCTACTCACTCGGAATGGGTCACAGGCTCACCAGGTTTTGATTGTTCGAATAAAGTGTCGTAAACGATCCGTTTTGGGATAAAAAATATAACATAGTCGCCATATTCAAGTGACGACACAACTATCGCGAGATTAGAAATAACTCCGCGAGAATTACAATGTACACTCACATTTCACATTTATTGAGAACACACAACGTCCTTCGAAAATGATGAAAAGGGTTATCTGGGTTCAACCGGGGATTTCACGCATGTTTCTTTCACCAATATCCCACACACTTTGATATTGATTTGATTACCATGATCCCACACACTGGGATATTGATTTGATTTGATTACCATGATCTCACGTACTTTAGTCGATTACTTAGATCGCAATTTTAAATTTCTCGCGACCCTGTAAGTTGACGAGAGCTGCCACTCCGTCTGCTCCGTTTGTAGGTAGCCTACGGATTACTGTCAATTTGTCAACCGTATAGTTGTGTCCACGTTACACCAAGTACGCTATAAAACGGATTACTTAATACTTTATTTTCGCTATTTCCTCTGAAGGAATGAATTAGGGAAAATAAAATCCAGCGAATATACCTTTTTTTCTATATTTTACATTCAACTCGTGAAAAATCAGTGAAAATAAAGTCCATTCAAAACACCCTCAAAAAGTCTTTTCAGCGAACATTTATTCCATCTATAATAAAGTATTTTACGGTATATTTAACCACAGTCCCTCTATCTAGAAGGACTGTGATTTAACTTATAATTAGAGTGTCCTCAGACACTATAATAGTCGGGACACATGTTTGCCGGGGATTAGGCATATTGACACCTCTAAACAATAGCGTTGCCAGTCTGTTTATTAGTTGTCTGACGAGTGTCTTAGCATCTTGCATTGAATAATGAAACGAATACGAGTGCATATATATCCTAAAATGTGTGACATAACTGATCGGTTCAGACATGTCCGAGATGTGGCACTAGAATGGCATAGAATAAAACAAAATGTTGACCATATAGAATGTAGGGACGGACCAAAGTCTATAGACTGTGGGACCACGGTTACTAAAAATAGTAACCGTGGTGGGACGATCTGATATTCTGTGCGTTCGGTCTACGGTCGTCGGGCCTCAGCACTAAATGCTCCAACCTTTAACAGCCAACATTCAGAATTACTACTCTGTGTAATTATTGTTGGCAAAGTCAGTTACAAATAACAGCGGTACAGATTTATCTCCCTTTAAAATGCAACCATAAAAGTGACTGTAATATGGCTGTATAGAAGAAAATGTCTAAATGTTCATTTTTTGTTTAGGAGATGCAAGGGATGTTTAGTCGTTCGTGAATATTACTGTTCTTGAGTTCGTGAATAAACAATTATAAATAATTCATCTGTGTGGGTTCTGTTATGACAGACAATATACCGCTATAGCGCTACCCCCACTTTTTTGGTGGGCCCATTGGCGGGAAAAGAAAGGGCTCTTTTTTTTGCCTAGTCCAAAGTGATTTCACCCAGTTCCCCTAATATCAGTATTTAACACATGTCCAAATATGAACGAAATGTCAACATGATAAATTGAAATCTGGTTTCAAAATTTTAGAGTTTTGATTTAATGAATTATCAGTAGTGAGTGTGGTGGACGCTTTGAATTGAACCACAAACAAAAATACACGTGTATGTTTTCCAAGATTGAGGTATGAATGTGTGCAATTTGAAGGTGATCAGTAAGGACATGTCCGATTTACCGACCCGGACTGACATGCACTAGTAAAGTCACCGTTTTGGGAACATTATAAAATGAATACTGTTTTATTTCGTTTGTGAAAAAGGTATATGCAGTGCATTAGAATGGAACACATTTTCGACCACTTTATTGTAAAATAAGAACAAACCATCATATGTACATCGCATATTAACTGTTACAGCAATAACACATATTTGAAAACACTAATTGATCGTTGTAAGACAACAAAAAATAGCCTGGACATGCCCGCATGCTTTGTTAATTGCGAATTATACAAACATATGAGAACAAATTGCTGCCAAAATGGTTAAAAACAAGTAACATTTTAATAAATTAGATAACGTTGAAAAGTTGTTTTACATTGCTATAACATATTGATGAAAAAATCATTTCTGCCACCCACAGAGATCCCACAGCATATTTATTATTTTTGACTTATGTACACTGTTATAAAGAAGTTATTCCCAAAACAATAAAATATAAACGTGTGTGCATTTCTATAAATTATTTGACAAGAGAAATTGTCATTTCTATCACAGACATCGACCCCCATATGTCATTTGTGCGTCTTATATATTGTGCTTGAATTATACACACTTTTATGAAAAAAATGATTGAATTGAGACTCATTTGAATAAATTAGATAACGTTTACTTATTTGCTAATTTTCACGAGAAATCATTATACATTATGTATTTAACAAATGTGTACACCTTTGTTTTGCTCTGGGCCTCGGTCATGTCTATTGCACAATGAATGGTATATACATAGTGTTGTGCTGATTTTCAGTCGGAAGAACGGGATTTGAGAACTAGCGTACAGTAGTTGTTTAAAATGATTACAAAGTTGCTAGCTTTACTTTGGGAAACACAAATGATTGTATTTTAAAAACGTGCTATGAGAGATTGAAAAACCGAAGAAACAATCTTCACAAACGAGTCTCGAAATGTCGTAAAAAGCATATAGAGGTCATAGATCGAAACATACACGTGCAATCAGTATCGATTTTGAAACATTTCAGAACATTAAATGACCGGAAATTGGAAATAAACTCATCATTCTTCTACAGCAAAATGATCATGTGACCGGCCAGTGTAAGATGTTAAACATCATCTGTAGATGCAAGTCCTTGCATGGGATACCATCTGAGGAAATTACCTCGCGAAACTATTTGTTTTTAAATTTTGTGTCACACATTGAAATTACATATTTCAATTTGATGTGTGATATTTGATATGAACATTTTTGTACAATATCGTAAAAAATATTTAAATTTGCACGTAATGTCAATAATGTCAATGACGTTTAACGTCGTGAAAAGCGATTGGAAAGTTGGTTAAGATAGGTGAAAAACCTACATAGTCTTTCTAATAATATTGTGGTTGCGTGGCTAATGACTAGTTGAAAACTAAATATTGTCGCCGTAACAGACATAACTTCGAGAATCGCAGCTAAAATTGTGATTACTTATCGCATATACATTAATTGAATATACGCCAAAAAACAACATGTTATTAAACAAGTTCGGTTCAATACAAATAGCAAAACTTGTAAAACGTGACATGTCAGCTCTAAGTTTCTAAAAAGACATAAAATGTTATGTCCAATAATGTTTTATTTAATCATTGCCAAATTTGTATTCAACTATCATATCAAATTTGATTTTACATCTGACTATAATCATGACATTTGATTGAAATGAGATATCTTGACTCCACTCTACACCCAAAATACACGTAGAAGGGGATCCATTCTAGACTGCATGACATCAGCCTGATGATCACTTAAGTTTAATTTCTCTACATTTTGTCTACTTTCAAAACTTTCTGAATGTACTTTCACTTTAGCTGTCACAGTGAAACATGCTTCACTTTCCACTATAAATACTTTACTTTAGAAAACTTTGTCTGTTTTTGGTTGTACCTTTAATTGT